AAAAAAAAAAAAGAGAAAAGAAAAGAAAAAAAAAAAATTAAGAAGAGGGTCCTAACCTTTCCTGCTAGCCCTGCTGCGGAGCAATCACTAGCCTTCTCCTGGCTCCTCCAGCCTTAGCCCTGGCTCAGCCTCTCCAGCCTCGGCGCCCGCCAGCGCTCCCAGGGAACCAGGTGAGGCGAAAACCCGGCGCGCGGTGGTATGGAGTTCGCGTTGTGCACTGCACACTCCAGTGGCCCTCGCTCGCCCTCTCTCCTGCTGCCTCCCTGCGCCTCTCCTGCGGGCCGGTCCCTCACCCGATGTGCTTGTCCCGCAGCGCCAATGTGTCCTCCTTGCTGTACAGCTCGCACATGGTGGCGGTGCCGCGTTCCTGGGTCCCCAGAAGCCTGGTTATCTCCTTGGCTGGGCTCCCCGTTGTGCCCGAAGGTCCCCGACCCGGGCCTCGAGGTCACCTGTGACATCTTCCAGCCGGGCCACCCCCTTCTGATCAGCAGCCTCTGGCATGCCAGGCCCCTCCCGCAGTCCCGCCCACCAGGTCCCCCCCCCCCAGCCCCGTGTCCCTTGTCGCTGCCCCGGCGCCACCTGCTGTACGGGCTGTGTTTTCCTGCCCTTGTCTCCTCCTCTCTGCCTCCTGGCCTGGCCAGTACATTCCCTCTCTCCCACTCTCTGGTTTCTTCTCTGGAGTCCCTTTCCTTCTAGTTATAGTTTCAGAGTCAGGCTCTCGGGGCCACACGTGAGCCTGTGTGCTCGGACTTCTAGGTAACTCACCACGCAGTGCAAACCGCTGGGAGGCACCCTGACTCAGTGGGAGTGATATGTGCAGGACTTCAAGTGCCTATCAGTAATTCCAGGGCTTCCGGGGTTGGTGGCACTCACCTGTAATAGCAGCACTCAGGAGTTTGAGGCCAACCTGGGCTACATGATTTCAAGGTCAGCCTGAACTGGTTAGTGAGACCCTGAGTCAAGAAACAAGCAAGCAAAATTATATGGCTACTGTCCAATCCATTCTTGCAGCTTTTCTATCTGATCCTCCGAACAGGCCTTGCTGTGGTCCTCGTGTCTCCCCACTTTCCGCGTCCATGTGGGTCCAGGCTCATCCCTGGGTACCCAACTTCCTACAGTCACTCTTGTCACACGGATCAGATTTGCAGTGATGCTGTGACACTGAGGGCCCCCTTTGCTGCAGTATTAGTGCTGAGCTGCTGTGAGGCCTGGGGGTCTCTGCTCCACAGCTTGATCGGGTCCTACAGCAGCTCTGGAGTCCTCTTCCCTCAGTGTCATTGTTTGTTCTGTCCTGGCAGCCTTGATCTCCTGAATTGATTCAAAACATCTCTCTTTCCTGGTGATTTTGGCTTCGGGGACCTGCTAGAAGCCCCACAATGCAAGGCCCTGTGATCTGGCAGATCCTCACCTGCTGGGTGAGCACACAGCATTGTGTCTTTATGAGCCTGTTTTTTTATTTTTATCTTTATTTATTTCTTTATTTTGGATGGTATTGGCAGCTGCGTGGACCATATTTTTGATCATACACTATGAAGACCACCAGGAAAGAGGATTCCAGAGCTACTTCAGAAGCAGCAAGGATGATGGGATAGGTGTGTCCAAAGCAATCAGGAGGATTTTGAGGGACTTCATGGCAATGTGACTTTCACTGTAATAAATGTTTTTAATGTAAACATTTCCTCCTCTACTGTTGGATCATACCCGGTGCCGATGCCCAGACCGACCCTGTGCCCCCTCTGCGTCTTTGCTTCCTGTCCTGGGTGGTGCCCTGGACACAGGTGGCTTTGAGGGTGGGAAATGGGACCAGTGTGAACTGAGATGTGACTTCCCTGTAAACAAAATTGCCACCACCTTTTGAAGACGTCATACTCAACAATGTAAAACATTGCATTAATCTTTTATATTGGTTACTTCTTGAAATAATAGTTTGGATATAATTTACAATAACTATACCATTAGTAATAATTTCACTTTTTTTTCCTTCTCTAATATTGATATAGGGGAAAGAAACTCCCAATCAGCTAGATATCTGGGATGACTTTGTGTTCTCTAAAAAAGAAGAATGAATTTTAGGAACAACAGAGGTTAAGAGCAGGATGTATTTTGGGAGAAAGAAAGCTTCTGTCAGAGAGGGACATAGGGGACCTGATGGGTTGCCGAGGACCCTGCCTTTTCTAGGGAAGTTTTAAAATTCATTTATTTATTAGGTACAGGACCTCACAATGCAGTTCAGACTCTTAGTGATTCTCCTGTCTCAGCCTCCCCAGCACTGGATTATAGGCATGTGCCACCACACCCGGTTTGGGGCAGGCAAGGTGTGCCTGGGTTTCTGGGGCTGGCATGGCATGCAGTACCAGGATCGAGCTCAGGTCCTTGTGCTTACAAGGCAGGTGCTTAGATCGCTGAGCTATCTCCCCAGCCCTTGCTAGGAATTTTTATAGGACAAAACTATGAGATGAGACAGATCCAAGGTGGGAAACATGGAAACTCACACATGAGGTGGGATAAAACTGTGGTCAAACAGTAAGATTGCAAGTATAATTGCATAGGTAACATTGTTTACATCAGGATCAAATGGGGACTTGAGCCACATAGCAAGAGGGATTTTCCTTAGGAGGAGAGTTCTTCAGAGCCATCTAGCAGAACTGGGGTTGTGTTAGTGGCTCTTCCTGGCTTCCTCAGGGTGATAGATATCCATTTAGAATACCAATCCCTGAGGTCTATCCTTAGGGAGGTGTGTGGGTGCATTTGTTTCATCTTTTGTCCTGAGCTCTGGCACTCCCTCCAGAGCTCCCCATGCATTTGGTAGGAGGTATGTGGGCGTGGTTTTTAAAGTTTGCTCCCTTTGAGTCCTGACTCTACTGATCACTCACCCTGACCTGGCAGCCACAGGTTTCTCAACAGCCCCAGCTTGGCCAGATGACCTCAGTGTCAAGAGTGCAAGGGGTATGCAGTCCATACCCAAGCGGGGCAGGAGGGATCTGTTCATGAGCCTGGAGGCTGGGGATGATGCCTGTGGGTGTTAGTTACCTGTCTGTGGGAACAGGCACAGCTGGGAACTGCGTGTTCTGGACCCCACGTGCCTGCAGCGGCTTACCTAACTCTCACAGTGGTGGTGATGGTGTGCAGAACTAGGGACTCCTTGCTGCTCCCCTGCCCTGCTGCCCCGCCC